ACTTTACCACCAAACACTTCAAAAATGCATTGTTCTCCAAGACAGACCCCAAGAATAGGAATCTTTCCTGAGAAAAATTGAATAACATCGCGGGAAATTCCTGCATCAGTCGATGGGTGACCTGGTCCAGGAGAGATTACAATATTCTTTGGATTAAGTGAAGCTAGATGCTCAACAGTTGTTTGATCATTTCTAAAAACTTGAACTTCTGCACCGAGTTCAGAAAGGTATTGATACACGTTCCAAGTGAATGAATCGTAATTATCAATCAAAACCGTAACATTTGAAGTAATGGATTGGGATGACATTACGAATGTTTTAGCGGCTCTTTGTAAAAAAAAAATAATTTTAAATTTCCATAGTCGGTTTTGCGGTCGCACAAATCATCGCGTTTGATCTAAATTTTGTGGTTCAGTAACGTAACATTATTAAAGAATGTTGTGAATTTGTGAATGTAAAAATTGTAACATCCATGTTTTTTTTTTCAAAAAATAAAAAAAAGAATACATATCAAAAATTTTTATGCATAATTTAAAGATATAAAATAAAGTTTATGATGACATAATTGCATGTTAAAAAAAAATGGTATAAATATTTAACAAAGATTTTTATAATATTTTATAGACTTTCATATGTACAGTATATTAGAATTATATTACTAAGTCTACTGATTAGAAAACAATATTTTTTTTTTAACCTGCAATCATGTCACGATGGCTTGTCTTTGTTGAGAAATTAAAATAAAATCTATAGTAGTTTACAGACTTTCACAAAGTAACTAATTTGTTTTTATATATAAGTACTTTAAGTCAAATTTTGAAACAATATTATACTTCCCCTATAGATTGATAATGGTCTCTATTTATCAAGATCATTGCCAACAGTTTATTATTATTGATTGATCCAAAAATTAATGAATTGTTAAGTTAAAAAGAAAAAGAGGAAAATCAATTAGAAGAAGAAAACAATTTAAGACCTACTAAAAAAATTCAAAAATAAAATCAATCGTTTCTTAAAAGAAATCTATCTGCCTAATTAGAATAGTCTCCTTGCTTCACTTGAACCTTGAAAGAAATCTTTTTTTATTATGTCTAGTATTGAACAAGTCAATTCAACTAATCCTTTATTTAAATAAATATTGGATTGAAATATCTCAAGAAAAGTATTTAGATCTAAGTTTTTTTCATTAAAGCTTTATCATTATCTAAAAACTTAAGTAAGAAATAAAAGTTTGCAATTTATATTACCTATTACTTAATCTTTTGAAGTTATGAAAGTTTTCATTAAGAGATATGAGCTTTTGGAAAGTAAACATTTTTAAATATTTTTTTAAATAATCAATTATATTATTGAAACATATGAGTGAAACCAATAGAAGTTTGTTTATATTTCAGAAACTAATATATTTCATGTTAGTTAATTATCTTTGATAAGAATTTGTGTTATCAAAAATTTAAGATCAAACAGATATAAATAAAATTCTTCAAAAAATCATAAAAGTAGAAATTTTAAAAGAGCTAGGACAATTTAAAAGAAAAAAAGTAAGTCTTTTAATTACAATAAAACTTCCGTAAACCTTTCATTTCAAAGATTAGAAGGGTTTTTAGAAACTTGACAATCAGTTCTTTTTTTTTTAAGAACTTTTTTATTATTAGTATCAAAAGTATTACTTGATTTTTCTTGATCATTGGAAGTTAATTTTTTAGATAAAAAGGCTTATAAACAATAGAGAAAAAATAAAGTTAACTTTTGAAATCAAACTTCAAGTTGTTTTATAAAAAGTATTAAGACTTTATTAGTAAAGAAATGAAAAAACTTCTTGTAAATATTTTTTTTGTATGTGATTAAAAGATCAATAGAAAAAGCTTTTGCTTTTAGAAAACAATATTTTATTTTTCTAGCAAATTAATATTCTATTATAGATTCTTGTATTCTAGTAACTTGATATGATCTATAATAGTGATAACTTTTTTTTAAATCCATAGTCTGGTCAGTATTATATATTTATTTATTTATTATTTTTTTTTTGAGTACCCATAACCAGGCTAGATCATCAGTTTATTAATCAATTGAAAACAAAAGTATATTTTTATTCAAGCAGCATAATACATATTATAGCTGAACTATTATTCTAATCTAACTAACTTGTCGTAAGCATAAAAGCCTCTAAGTTCAATCTTGGGGATAATATTTCGCTCTGTAATTTCTTTAAATAAAGATCCTCCTAGTACACTGCATCATTGTCAGCAGGTTGTCACTGCTGTATGTCTGATCAAGTCACTGAAATATAGGAAACTACAAAAAGATGGGTTGAAAAAGAAGGAGGCGGATATCTAAAAATGTCTAAATAGACCACAAGAAAATGAAAGAGTAAAAATTGAAAAATATTTCCAGCTTTTTCCAAAGACCTGCTTCTCAAGATTTCTTCTCAATAAGAAATA